ACTGTTATATCTTAAATCTCACTTATGAGATAGATATATTATAAATAATAATGATATTTAACATAATAAATCACTTACGGTTTTATGTTAGAGTGATGTGATGAGGGAATTGTTATTTATTATTATTTTTATTAATTTTTTAGTTGAGTCCTAGAGATAGAGGAGTAAAATTTGAAAATAATGTCAGAAATTTTCTTGTACATATCGGGTGTACAACATCTATTACTAAAATTCCTGATAATGGTTTTGATATTACAACAACCTTTGATAAGATTAATGTTGTGTTTCAATTAAAATATCATTATATTTCTGAGAAAAAAGTTGTTTCTATTGATGTTTCTAAAATTCGTGAGTTTGTTGATGCTTTTGAAACACGTTATAAAAACAGTGATTTTTATGGTATTTTTTTAACAAATTCAGGTATTCAATATAGTAATGAATGTCAAATTTTTAAAAATTCTCATCCTAGAATATTTTTATGCACAATTGATAATTTATTTCAATGTCTCTACAATATTAATCGTAAACATATTACTAATGATACAAATACTTTTAATTCTTTAACTATGGAAGCGACAAATGCTGAAGGGGTATCACTTAATTTTAATGGTATGCAAATTGAATATAAAAAATTAGAGTCTCATGTTATTAGAGTTGATAGGAAAAGGAATGGTTTTTCTCCATATTGATTAATGAATTTGATAGAAATTAATAATTGATTTTTTTTATAAATATTTGATGTTTTTTTTGCTATTTTCATTAATTGAATTTGATATAAATAAAATGTCTAATTTAAATCAAAACGGAGAGATTGATATTAATTTATCTGATTTTGAAGAATCACCAAAATCATCAAAATATATTCTTGCTTTATTTGATGTTGATGTTGATGTAACTGATAATGTTAGATTTTTTTATAAATTTATCGAATTTGAAAAAGGAAGTTTAAAAAATTTAACAAATGCAGCGATTAAAAAAATAGAATATTTAGATCCTGACATTAAACGTCTTGAACATTTTAATAGTTCAAAACAGGGTCAAATATCTATATTTATTATTTGAATAAATGTGAAAAGTTCGTGTTAGAAAAAGATAAGGATTTGAAAATTACAACATTGGAAGAATTTTATGATAGATTTAAAATATCTGAAAATTATAAATTAAAATTAACCAATAAAATCGTAGAATTGAAACAAGAGTATTTTGATAAGTTAGTTAATTCAAAGAAGAGAAAACATGATAAAATTGAGAATGTGTATAAAGACATGATGCAAAGAGTTATGAGAAAGATAAAAATCAAACATCCAAGGATTGATCTAAATTACCAATTTAGAATTGAGATGAAAAGGAAAGAAGGACCATTTATTTTTGGCTTTATCGGAGATTCGGGTGTTGGTAAATCTTATATTATTGGAAAAGTTGTCGACTATTTAATTAGTAAAGGAATTAATAAAGAAGAAA